GATTCTGAAGCTTATATAGAATTGCAAAGATCAAGAATAGCTTAAATTTCTTTTAAAATTCTTTTAAAAATACTAGGTTAGGAGGGCACCTGGGTGGCTCAGTCAGTTAAACATTTGACTTTGGCTTAGGTCATGATCTCATGGTTCATGAGTTCAAGCCCTGCATGGGGCTCTCCGCTGTCAGTGCAGAGCCCACTTCTTTTTTTTTTTTTTTTTTAATATTTTTATTTATTTCTAGGAGAGAGAGAGAGAGAGAGACAGCGTGAGCAGGGGAGGGTCAGAGAGAGAGGGAGTCACAGACTGAAACAGGCTCCAGGCTCTGAGCTGGCAGTCAGCACAGAGCCCGACGCGGGGCTCGAACCCACAAACCGCGAGATCATGACCTAAGCGAAAGTCAGACGCTTAACCGACTAAGCCACCCAGGCGCCCCAGTGCAGAGCCCACTTCTGATCCTCTGTCTCCCCTCTCTTTCTGCCCATCCCCCGCATATACATGCTCCCTCTCTCTCAAAAATAAACAAACATTTAAAAAAACTGAAAAATAAAAAAGGCTCAGGGCATTTTTTTTTGGTGGCTGTCAGTTAAGCATCCAATTTAGGTCATGAGCTCATGGTTTTTAAGTTTGAACCCCATGTCAGGCTCTGTGCTGACACAGTGTGGAGCCTGCTTGGGATTCTCTCTCCTTCTCTCTGCACCTCCCCTGCTTACTCTCTCTCAAAAATAAATACATAAACTTAAAAAAAAAAAAAAAAGGGGCTCAGGTCCTGGTCTCCTGATCTCAGTCAGCCTGAGATTGACCCTCGCATCAGGCTCCACACGCAGTGTAGAGAGCTTAGGATTTTCTCTCTTCCTTTGCTCCTCCTTTGCTCATGCATGCTCTCTCTCCCCCCCAAAAAAAAAAAAAAAAAAAAAAATGCTAGGTGAGACCTTAAATTTAAGTCTCAGGCTTTACTGTAAAGCTAATATAGCAGGGACAAATCAACCTCAGGCACAAAGAAGAAGCTCAAAAACAGACCTTAGCTTAAAGGGACCCTCGATTAACAATAAAGGTGAGGATGCAGAGAAGTCTTTCCAGTAAACTGTGCTGGCAAAACTAGATATCTACATGGAAAAAAAAAAAAATGAAACTCACGACACATAAAAATCACTTTCAAATGATCTAGAGAAAGAAGTGTGAAAGGCAAAATAATAAAGCAGTGAAGGCACTACAGGATATCTTCATGACCTCAGGAAAGGAAAAGATCCCTTGAAACAGGACAGAAAAGATATTATATAAAAAAAGACTGATCGGGGCGCCTGGGTGGCTCAGTTGGTAAAGCGTCCAACTTCGGCTCAGGTCATGATCTCACGGTTCATGGGTTCAAGTCCCACACTGGGCTCTGTGCTGACAGCTAGCTCAGAGCCTGGAGCCTGTTTCAGATTCTGTATCTCCCTCTCTCTCTGACCCTCCCTTGCTCATGCTGTCTCTCTCTCTCTCTGAAATAAATAAAAAAATGTTAAAAAAAGACTGATCATTTTTACTAAATTAAGTTTAAAACACTAATTCATCAAAAGATACCAGAGTGAAAAGTGAGCCACAAAGAGGGAGAAGATACAGACCCCCCAAAATAAGTCCTCAATAGCAACAGAAATAGCAACAGGAAATATAAAGCACAGTGAGTTATAACTACACTTTCACCACAAAGCACAGTGTTGGTGAGATGTAGGATAACAAACCCAAACATGGCCAGTGAGAATACAAACTGGTACAACCAATTTAGAAAGCCATTACCCAGCAAAATGGAAGATTCTCTTATCATTTGATCCAGCAACCTACTCCCAATAATATACTGAAAATAATGGTTATCAAAGTGTGATTCCTGAACCAACAGTATTAGCATCAACTGAGAACTTACCTGAAATGCAAATTGAGCATGACTCTAGATGTACTAAATCAGAAACTGGATAGTAGAAACCAGCAATCCTGTTTACCAAGCCCACCAGGGCATTCTGATGCAGGCTCAAACTTGAGAATCACTGTGTGCCAAACTATGCATATGAAAGTGTTCATCACATTCAAAACCTGGAAACAGCCCAAATGCCCATCAAGAGAATGGATAAATTGTGGAATATTCTTATAATGTGGTATTATAGAGCAAGAAAAATGAGCAAACTACAACTATAGACAGTAACATGAAAGAATCTTGAAATCTTGAGAGAGAGGCACTCGGGTGGGTGGCTCAGTCAGTTAAGCATCTGACTGGATTTCAGCTCAGGTCACAGTTTGTGAGTTTGAGCCCCACACCAGGCTCTGCCTGCTTGGGAATCTCTCTCTGCCTCTCCCCTGCTCGTGCTCACTCTCTCAAAATAAACATTAAAAAAATAAAAACCTTGAGAGAAAAAAAATCAAGACACCAAAGAATACATACAATATGATTTCACTTATATAAAGGCAGAGGCCAAACTAAACTACATTGTTCAGTAATGCATACATAACTGGTAAAAATATAAAGAAATTTGAGAAAGTGATTACTATTAAGGTAGGACAGCAGTTTACTCTAGGGAAGAAGGAGCAGGTGTGATTAGGAAAGGATACGTAAAAGTGACTTCTGAGGTTTTGACAATATGCTATTTCTTTACCTGGGGTGGGAGGGTAGTGATTACATGTTTATTTAAAAATAATATAATTAACATTTTATGCACCTTTCTGCATCTGTGTTATATCTAACAGTTTGTGTTTTTTTTTAAAGCAAACATATTCCCCTCTCAAGGTCCCACATCTAAAGCAGTATAGTAATGAGGGAAACTAAACCAGAGTCAGAGATCACAGAACTTCATTTTAAGCCGTGGTTAACTTGCTTCAGAGGATGAAATAAGGCAGGTCTGCAGAGTACTCTACAGATCATATGGTAAACTTGGGCAGGGTGCTGATTCCATATTCAAGGGTCCCTTTTCCGTGGGATCAGCAGGGGTGGACCTCAGCAGCTGTGCTGGATCTCTTGTGACCCTCCATCAAATCCCAGTGGATTAGAGCAGGAGGAGAAACCCGAGTCACACTGGACCAACCAGACTCATTCTCCCAGGACTGAATTTTGAGCTGAGACACAGATTGAACAGGCTTTGGAGGCTGAAATACCAAAATGGCACCATTCAGAGGAAGGGTCCAAACAAGTGCAGAATAGGTCCCTGAATAGCCACAACACCCTGGCTTCTGCCTTGCCACCAAGGCCTAGTAGATTCAATAAAAAAATTTCTACAGGTTAGTTAGCATTGTTGGCTATAAGCAGTAAGAACCCAATTCAAATTAGCTTAAGGAAGAAAGTATAACAGTAATAGTCCTTCAACAAAACTGACCAGCCTTTAGCTAGGGGAAAAAAAAAAAAGAGAAGATATAGATCACTAGGGGTAGGAATGTAAGAGAGGGCATTACCACTGAGGTCTCATAAATTAAAAGAATTATAAAGGAGGGGCCCCTGGGTGGCTCAGCATGGTTAGTAAACCGCAGTCTTTCTTGTAAATTCCTTCCTTTTGTCAAAGTTAGCCAAAACTGGATCTGCTATTTGTAATCAAAAGAAACTTAGTGTAGGCTATAAGCAACCATGATCAACAGCAGGAGAAAGATACAACAGCCAGTGAGTCTTGATGTTACAACTTCAAACCTCGGGATTCCCAAACACCAAAAAAAGGAATTTTTAGAGAAATCAAAACTCCTGGGGAAAGGGAGGACCCAGAGCACCATCCAGCATCCAGACCACAGCTACTCTGTCTCGCACCATGGACGGCAATTCCCAGCCCTTCTTCCCCGGCACCCACACCAGTGTCCCCACAACATAGGAGATGTTCAAAATGGAACATACGGTGGCTGTACTCAGGGTGCCCAGACTTCAAGTCCCGTGGTGACTACCGTGATCCACAGCAAGACACAGGTGCCCAACCATATTATCTGGTCCCTGTTCAACACAATCTTCATGAACTGCCTGGGCTTCATGGCATTCACCTGCTATATGAAGTCTAAGGACCAGAAGACGGTGGGTGATTTTGGGGCCCAGGCCTATGCCTCCACTGCCAAGGGCCTGAACATCTGGGTCCTGGGTTTGGGTCTCCTTCTGACCATTACATAATTACTTTCACCACTGGCTCACTGATGATTTTCCAAGCAATTTCAGAGATCATAAAACATTACAAAAGCTATTAGTGGGGCGCCGGGGTGGCTCAGTCGGTTAAGTGTCCGACTTCAGCTCAGGTCATAATCTCACAGTTTGTGGGTTCGAGCCCCGCGTCGGGCTCCATGCTGACAGCTAGCTCAGAGCCTGGAGCCCATTTCACATTCTGTGTGTGTCTCTCTGACCTGCCCTTGCTTGCATTGTCTCTCTCTGACCTTCAAAGGTAAATAAAAAACATTAAAAAAAAAAAAAAAGCTATTAGCAGCTGCCAGTAGCTCGAGGCTGTCACTACTTCCACAGCATTTTATATACATGTCAGTTTACAACTGAATTCAATAAAGCACTTTTATTTTCTTTTAATCAAAATTTTATTTTCTTTTAATTTTTTTTAAGTTAATTACTTTTGAGAGACAGAGAGACAAACTGTGAGCAGGGGAAGGACAGAGACAGGAGACAGAATCTGAAGCAGGCTGCAGTATCTGAGCTGTCAGCACAGAGCCCGATGTGGGGCTTGAACTCACCAACTGCGAGATTATGACCTGAGCCGAAGCCAGGGGCTTAACCAACTGAGCCACCCAGGCGCCCCTCAAAATCAAAATTTTAATGATGGATATTTTCATGCACTCAAAATGGTTTTGAACTGTAACATAAGGTATGAAATGTGCATTATACTCTACATTCTAGAGAAGAAACCCAAAACGACAAAAAAAATCCTTACTCGAAGTTCCTTTTTCACCACTCATGATTTAGGGGAAAAACTATTTATTTATTATTTATTATTTTAATTCACAAAATGTTTACAGGTTTTTATATGGGCCATAATTTCACTTATCTTTTTTCGTCAAGTCTTATCACTCACCTGGAGTCCACTTTCCTCTGCATTCTTTGCTTACTTCCTTTTGGATGGAAATTCGACCAGTGGCTTGAGATATGCTTCTTAGCAGATTCTTCATGAATCAAAGCCTTATCTTCCTTTTTAAACTATAAGAAAAAGAAGGGAAAGGAGAGTAAATTATCTGAAGCCTGTTAGCAGCCACATTTCTGAACAGCTACATGCCAGCTTCTAATCTCCTGACCTTCCTTAACTCAACACCAGATAACATGGCAAGTCTCTGAAAATTTTTTACTTGCATTTTTGAAAAGTTATAAGAAAGGAAACTGGTAGGAGAGAAAAATGACACGAAAAGGCTATAACTGGCAGTACACCTGGGTTACCCAGCCAGTTAAGTGTCCGACTCTTGATTTCAGCTCAGGTCATGATCTCACGGTTCCTGAGATCAAGCCCTGTGTCAAGCTCCATGCTGTCAGTGCAGAGCCTGTGTGGGATTCTCTCACCCTCTCTCTCTGCTCCTCCCAACTCATGCTTGCTTTCTCTCTTTAAATAAATACACATTCAAAAAAAAAAAAAAAAAAAAGGCTATACCTGGCTCTTTCTGTCTACGTGATGCTACAAGACCTTCAACTTCCCTTCATAAGAACACCAGTAGAAGACAAGATTTCTTATTTTTTGCCTACATTAATTTCTTTGATGGTCAATGTTACCTATAAGAATGTCTGGGCAGTTTTTGGTCAATAGTAAATTACTGTGTATAGTTTCCATTTTCATTGGGTGATAATTTCTACCAGTTATATTCATTACAAACTAAATAACATTTTTATTTCTTTTTTTTTTCTTTAACGTTTATTTATAGTTGAGAGAGAGATAAAGAGAGAGTGCAAGTGCAGGGGAGAGGCAAAAAGAGACGGAGGCAGAATCCGAAGCAGGCTCCAGGTTCTGAGCTGTCAGCATAGAGCTGATGAGGGGCTTGAACTCACAAACTGCAAGATAATGACCTGAGCCAAAGTTGGTCACTCAACAGACTGAGCCACCCAGGCGCCCCCTATTTATTTCTAAATGCAGAGAACAGCAATGTTGTGGGTTGGATTGTGTCCTCCCCAAAGATATGCTATAGTCCCAACCTCTAGTACCTATGAACGTGACCTGATTTGGAAACAGAAACTTTGCAGATGTAATTAAGATGAGATCACACTGGAATAAGCTGGGCCCTTAATCCAATGAGTGGCACCTTAAATAAAAGAGATGAGACACAGGGGCAGATACACACAGAAAGGAGAATGCCATGTGAAGACAGACACACAGGGAGAGCAGCATGTGATGATGAAAGCAGAGACTGAAATGATGTGTCCAAAAGCCAAGGAACACCAAGGGCTTCTGGCAACACCAGAAGCTAAGAGAAGCACATACAACAGACCCTCTTCCAGAGCCTTCAGAAAGAGGATAGCCCTGTTGACATCTTGATTTCAGATTTCTGGCTTCCAATGACAATATATTTCTATTGTTTTTAAGCCATGCTGCGTATACCATTTTGTCACAGCAGCCTTTGGAAACTAATTCAAGTAGTAAGACCAAGGAGTAAGATTTAAGTATATGGGGGGCGCCTGGGTGGCTTAGTCGGTTAAGTGTCCGACTTTCGCTTAGGTCATGATCTCGCGGTTCGTGGGTTCGAGCCCCGCGTCAGGCTCTGTGCTGACTGCCAGCTCAGAGCTTGGAGCCTGTTTCAGAGTCTGTGACTCCCTCTCTCTCTGACCCTCCCCTGCTCATGCTGTCTCTCTCTCTCCTAGAAAAAAATAAAACATTTAAAAAAATCATTTAAAAAAATAATAAAAACCTTAAAAATTTAAAAAAAAAAGATTTAAGTACATGGTGGAGGAAAGGTAATAGGGCGGACTTGTCCTATGTCAAGTAATTGTGAGGCATTTATAAGACATTCATCCTAAAAGAATAAAAACACCCTTTATAATCAAGGTCATATATTTCAGTGACAGACAAGGAATTAGCCAGAGAGTTAATCTGTACACAACAAATAGTCCTTACTGACATCAAATTTGTCCTAATCTTTCTAGTATCACATTCCAAGTAACAAAGGTCACAATTAGTGACTATTTCTTTAAATTAAAGGATAATCAAATAGGGATTTTTGGCTAAATATTGCTATAATAAATGGGTCATTGCCTTGGGTATGTCTTGTTATAATAATTTCATGGAATGTTATCTGTGGTCAAAGATTCCCTTTTGTTATACATTCTGTGCCAACATTCCAAATACTTTACTATCTGCTTTCCCTACTAGAATATAAATTCCATGAAAACAGAAGCCATATCTGACCTTCTTACTACTAGATCTCCAGTATCTAAAACAATGTCTGGAACCTGACAGATGAAATATATAAATACTAGAAAGACCCAGACAGATCCCAGTGAGCATATGTATGAATATGAACTTGCTCCTGGGTTGATATACAAATAACCAAATACAAAAGACATGCAAGAAAAACAAGATTAGCAGGTGTGGGTGCCCCATTAAACCTATCTATTGAAGTCCTGAGATGACAGTAAAGGACAAAAGGGTATAAACTCTAAGGTCTAAGAGATAGGAGAAGAGATTACAGAAAAGATTTCCACAAATCTTTGCAATTAAGTAAGAGGAGGAAAATTAACTGGCCTAACATACAGTGTGGGATACTAAAAAGAAGCAAGCCCACAGAATCCCAGAAGAGTTTAGAAGGAACAAGGAATGGCTCCCCAAATTGTAGCTACAGGCTACGAATGAGAGGACTGAATGAAAAGTCTATATGGTGGGCGTTTGGGGCCCCTGCTCTCCTCCCAACCCCTGCCAGGCAGGATATTCAGCTCTTTCTCCACACTGCTTCCAGAATGCTGGCAGATAGACTGGTACCTCCCAGTCAGAATATCAGAAGATTCTTCACAGAAGATGCTAAGAATGAACACAGCCCTCAAAATTCTCATATTTGTGCCCACCTCCCTCAGTGAAAACGCAGGCTAACACTAGGAGCTTCAATTCATTTCTCAGTTGCTGGCACTTAAGTATGAATAGAGAGTCAAGAATCACAGGGCATGTGAGTGTGACCTCCAATAAGAGACAAAAACAAAGGAATCTGAGGAAGTGCCACAACCTGTGATGTATTCCTACCAAAAATTTGAATCTAAATACCAAGCCTCATCTACAACGAAGTACCAACTTATTAAACAAAAAAATAGAGGGAGTAAAAATGATTTTGCAATCTACAAAATCAATGATATAGGAAACTTCAGAGGACTAACAACCAGTTCCTTCAATAAGTGAACAGCAAAGGAAAGGGGGGAACTTATACATTAAAAGACACTAAAGGGGCACCTGCCTGGCTCAGTCAGGGGAGCATGTGACTCGATCTTGGATTGTGAGTTTGAGCCCCACATTGGGCGTAGAGATTAGTTTAAAAATTAAAAAAAAAAAAAAAAAAGACACTTAAGATGCACAGCAACCAAATGCAACATATGGACTTCAATTTTGGATCTTTATTTTAACAATCTAACAACAAACCAACTGTCAAACAAAAAACATGAAACAGGCTGGCTCAATTGTAAGAGCGTGTGACTCTTGATCTTGGGGTCATGAGTCCAAGGCCCATTCTGGGTGTCAAGAGTACTAAAAATAAATTAATAAACTTTAGAAGCACCTGGGTGGCTCAGTTGGTTAAGCATCCAACTCTTGATTCAGCTCGGGTCTCAAACTCAGAGTTATGAGTTCAAGCCTGACTTTGGGCTCCACACTGGCCATGAAGCCTACTTAAAAAAAAAAGAAAATAAATAACAACAACAACAAAAACACCACAAGAAACAATCAGGGATATTTAAACTTATTATTTTTCTTAGTGTTTATTTTTGAGAGAGAGAACACGTGAGCAGGGGAGGGGCAGAGAGAGGAGGGAACAGAAGATTTGAAGTGGGCTCTGTGCTGACAGCTGAGAGTTCAATTCACAAACCATAAGATCATAACCTAAGCCAAAGTCAGATACTTAAGTGTCTGAGCCACCCAGGTACCCCTAAACTTTTTCTATACTAAAACATGTTTTAATAATGTTTTTTTGAAATGGCACCTCATCTTTTACAGAATATACCAAAAAAAATTACAGATAAGATAGGATAAATTTGCGCACCAAAACTGTTAAGGAGAGTAATAAAACCAATAAAATTGCTATCCATGAGTCAAGGCTGAAAATAAATGAAGACAGATACATGTGGGAGAAGGGAGAGCTCAGCCATACACAGAATGCCCACTGAGAAATGTGGAAGAAGGTGTAGGGTTGGAAAACCCCCATCTTGCAACCATCATGAAAAGACTTTTTAAAATGGGAGGGAAAGTAGTAAACGTGGATAAAGGTATATGGTGGAGTTCTCTGGATTTTTTGGTAAGGCTGAAATTATTTCAAGGTGAAAATTAAATGAAATTAAGCCAGTGAGGACACAGTGGGCAGAGGTATAAATGAAACAAGATAGTTCATAAGTTAATAATTTTTGAAACTGAGTGATGGGTACACACTATATGTACTTGAAAATTTTCATAATAAAATGTTTCTTAAAATTCTGGAGGAAACAAAGACAATATGGAGAAAAGAAGAAAAACAAAACCAATAACAAAAGAAGACAACTCATAGTTAATATCCTCAAGAACAAAAGAGTACATATTATAGAATATAACCCATTGAATAAAATAAGGATTATTTAAAAGAAAACAAAAGAAGAACAAGAAAGAGGAAAGCTAAAACATTAGAAAGTGGCTGATAGCATTGAAGAAATGTCCCAAGGGGCACCTGGGTGGCTCAGTTGGTTAAGCGTCCGACTTCGGCTCAGGTCATGATCTCATGGTTAGTGGGCTCGAACCCCGCGGTGGGCTCTGTGCTGACTGCCAGCTCAGAGCCTGGAGCCTGTTTCAGATTCTGTGTCTCCCTCTCTCTCTGACCCTCTCCTTCTCACACACTCTCTCTCTCTCTCTCTCAGAAATAAATAAAACTTGAAAAGAAAGAAAGAAAGAAAGAAAGAAAGAAAGAAAGAAAGAAAGAAAGAAAGAAAGAAAGAAAGAAATGTCGCAGAAAGAGAAAGGGAGGGAGAAATGACAAGAGAAAAAGAATTCAGAAAATCAGAGGCTCAATCCAGGGGATCAGATATGCAAGTAGCAGGTATTCCAGAGAGATATGAGAGAATGAAAGAGGAAGAAGAAGAAAGTCTCTTAAAACTGAAGAATAAATCCTCAGATGAAAGGTCCTGCACTGAAGCTAAATGTCAGAGTAGATCAAAACACTTTTTACCACATGCAAGGAGAAAAAGCTTAAGCTACCTGGTTCTTGAGAAGTTACAGGAAAAGTAGACATTGTCAAAATTAAAAACAGTTGTGTTTCAAAGGAGACCATCAAGAAAGTGAAAAGAACACCCACTGAATGGGAGCAAATACTTGTAAATCTAAGAGACACATCTAGCTTATATTTTTAAAAATTCCTACAATTCAATAAAAAGACAACCCAATTTAAAAAATGGACAAAGGATATGAACAGATAGTTCTCCAAAGAAAATACATAAATGGCCAATAAGCACATTACATCTTATTAGCCATCAGGAAAATGCAAATCAAATCACAATGAGATAACCATTAAGATGGGTGTAATCAAAAAGACAAAGATTAGGCACCTGGACGGCTCAGTTGGAGGGAGCAATGACTCTTGATCTCAGGGTCCTGAGTTCAAGCCCCGTGATGGGTGTAGAGATTACTTAAACTTCAAAATAAAAAGACAAAAAGATAGTAAGTGTTGGTGAGGATGTAGAGAAAGTGAAACCCTCATACACTGATGGTGATAATATAAAATGGTACAAGCCACTTTGGAAAACCGGCAGTTCCTCTAAAAGAAAAATAGAGTTATCGTTTGATCCAGCAGTTCCATTCCTATGTACATAGCCAAAGAACTCAAAACAAATGTCTATACAAAAACTTGTACATGAATGTTCACAGTGACATTATTAATAATAGCGAAAAAAAATAACAACAAAGAAAGTGAAAGCCCAAATGTCCACAACTGATGGATGGGCAAACAAAAATATGGTATAACCATACCATGAAATATTATGCAATCATAAAAAGAAACAGTACTGTTACATATTAAAATATGGTTGCATGCTAAATAAAACGTGCTAAGTGAAAGAAGCCAATTACAAAGACCCATAATAATCATACAATTCCACTTACATGAAATGTCCAGAACAGATAAGTCTATAAGAGTTATAAACTAAATACCTGGTTCTCTAGGCTGGGAGGATTGAAGGGAAATGGGGAATTACTACTAACAGATAAGGGTTTCTTTTTTGGGTGGTGAAAATGTTCTAAAATTGAGTATGGTGATGGTTGCATAACTTACTATATTGAAAAAACCACTGAACATTTCAATCAGTGAATTGCTGTTTAAGGAAGAAAAAGAGGAGGAGGAAGTAGAAGTAGCAGTTATTAGAGGAAAATGTATCCAAAAAACCAAGGAAGCAAATTAAGGTTAAAAAACAGAAATACAGGGGCGCCTGGGTGGCTCAGTCGGTTAAGCGTCCGACCTTCGCTTAGGTCATGATCTCGCAGTTCGTGGGTTCGAGCCCCGCGTCGGGCTCTGTGCTGACTGCCAGCTCAGAGCCTGGAGCCTATTTCGGAGCCTGTGTCTCCCTCTCTCTCTGACCCTCCCCTGCTCACGCTCTCTCTCTCTCTCTCTCTCCTAGAAATAAATAAAAATATAAAAAAAAAAAAAACAAACAGAAATACAGGCAACAGTGAATTCACTACAAATAGCAAAAAGAAGCAAATCCGGGATAGATGTGAAAAGAAGTCTCGGGATTAGAACTGAGTACAGCAGGCACAGAGCCACCAGTTCAGATAAGAGCAGAGGAGCCAAGAAAAAGAGGAAATGGACTGTTTTTAGAGTAATTTTGCAGAAAATTAAAATTAAAATTAAAATATGTATATTTCTCATATACATATCTTCAGTATATGAGAAATGCTGAAGTATACAGGAAAAAAAATTAGTGATCTGTGTATGTAATACCAGGCAAATAAGAAAATAAGATAATTATTAATTCTCAGGAAAAAGAATCGGATGTACAAGAAAGAAGAGTTGCAGTACTCTATTTGATTTAGCCATGAAATGTTAAAGACCCCTGACCTTTTTTTTTTTTTTTAATTTTTGTTGTTTATTTATCGAGAGAGAGAAAGAGAGCGCCCTGAGCAAGCACGCGCGCGCGGGCACACACACACACAGGAGGGGAAGGGCAGAAAGAGAAGGAGAGAGAGAAACCCAAGCCGTCTCCTCACCATCAGTGCAGAACCTGATGTGGGGTCAAGCTCCTGAACCATGAGATCAGACCTAAACCCAAAACCAAGAGTCAGATACTTAACTAATTGAGCCACCCCCAAGTGCCCGACCATTAATTTAACATTAAATTAACACATAACTACACTGGCGACATGATGGAAGGAAAACTGAGCTAAGCACTTATCTTCCACAAATAACAGTCAATACTTTATGTGCAAAACTAAAAAATCAGGAAACATCACCCATAAGGATATTTATTTCCAACTTACAGAAGATCGGGAGAAAGAGCTAGCAAAATGGAAATTAAAACTGGGGTATGGGGCTATTTTCTATTACAAACTTTTATTATTAGTTTTTAAAATCACATATATTTGAAAAATTAAAGTTAACTTCTTAAAGAAGTTTCTGTAGGGGGCACCTGGGTGGCTCAGTCGGCTAAGCGTCCGACTTTGGCTCAGGTCATGATCTCACAATTCTTGGGTTCGAGCCTCGCGTCGGGCTCTGTGCTGACTGCCAGCTCAGAGCCTGGAGCCTGCTTCAGATTCTGTATCTCCCACTCTCTCTGACCCTACCCTGCTCAGCTGTCTCTCTCTCTCAGAAATAAATAAAACATTAAAAAAATAATAAGAAAAGAAGTTTCTGTAGTATTTTGTAGCTGCTAACAACGAAAAATGAATGCACCTACTAAAGTAAAGCAAAGACAGACCTAAACTGCTATCTTAAGCCACAGAGTAAGTTTCAACTACTTCTTCCAGGGAGGTTTCTCTGACATTGGAAGACTCATAGTTTCTTAGCACTTAGGTGGGTACCACGAAATCAAAAACGAATAAAAAACAAAACACCACTTACGTAGCGGGCACTCTGTGCCAGGTATAGATAGTACTAAACATTTTCATTAATTGCCTGCTTTTTAACAACCACCCAAACGGGCGGTAGCCATTTCATTTTACCAACGAAGTATCTAACTGGGGTAATTAGTTAAACTATAGGGCCGGTGATCCGGTCCCTACCACCGTCTGTTCAACAAACATTTTACTATGTAGCATCTACACAGAGGCTGTTGACAAGAAACCTGAATGGCCTCTCATGAAATAAAAATGAAGCATTGGTCTCCCACTGCTGGAGAGGCTTCACTGTTTTTGTTCTGTTGAGCCCCCTTCGGGGTTCAGATAGGGACCCTTAGGTCTGTGAGCATAAGCCTCTGGCCCCGCCACGCTGCAGGGGTCTGCGCCCGCTAAAGAGCCTTGCAGCGACGCGCGCCCCCGCCCCCGCCTTCAGCGCACCAGAAGCGCGGGAGGACGTGGGGCCCCGGGGCCCGGGCACCAAATCGCTGACGGGAAGCAGCACCCGTCGAGAAGGACGCGAACACCGCGCTGGGCGAGAAAGGCGGGCTCCGAGAGTCCTGCGCACTCTCTTCACACCTCTTCCACTCCCGAATCACTGCCCGTGGTTAGGCAGCATCGCTTGCACTTCTAGAGAAGGAAGGACGCGGAGGCTCAGAGAGGAGAGTCGGTCACCGGGCCCAGCTCAAAAGGAATGTTCTCGCCGCCCAACCGAGGGGGCCGACACTCACAGGCTGGGGACGATTCGACCCAGACTCGTACCTGGACAAGGCGAGCCCTTAGCCTCGCGCCTCGAGAAGTCCCGGCAGGAGCGGGCAGACGTGGCTGGACCTCCTCAACCCCCGAAACCACCACCTGCCTGGGCGCTTCCCGGGCCTTTGCTCTGGAGTCTCGCACGCGCCCGCCCAGTCTCCACGGTGACGCGGCGTGCATGTGAGACGCCCAATCAGGGACCCTGTAGTTCGCGCAGTCTCAGTCCGGTAGTGACACGCCTCCCTCCTGCAGCCGAGGTGCACCTGCAACACCAAGCTGGCCCAAAGGTGTGGGGCTGACTGCATCGTCCGGGCAACTCCAAAGAGAGTTTTCGGCGCCCTCGCTTCTTTCGGAGCTCAGCTTCCTACAGCTACTTTTAGACAAGAGGGGTAGGAGCTATTTCGAAGCGGATTTCGGAGCTACGCCTCGTGCTGCAAGCATGGTGACTAAGGTTTCCCTGCCCCGCCGCCTCAGGCTCCCGCGTGGGCCTCTCTGACTCTTGGTTCTCCACGGTTCGTTCCCAGGAGTGCCAGCTAGCCCCTAAGTAGGGTGCGCACGCGTGGACCAGGGACGTAGTCAATCTGGAAAGGCAGGGGTGATGTCTTTCAGCAGCCCCCGAATTTAAATTATCCCCAGCTGGTATCTTCTTTTAACTCTTCCTTTAAAATTGTGATTAACTATCACTAATTGTTAGTAAATAGTCGTTAAATTTTTAAAAACGAAGTCTATTCCGAACTTTCAAAAATAGGGGTGAGATAAAGTAGGTGGGACATCTTTATATGCTTTTCTCCTGTACTTTATAAAATATTTGAAAGCACATGAGATTTCTGGTGGAGAGAGCAAAGGCTAGCATTTTGTATTTAAATACTTGAAAGATTTTATATTACAAACAGGTAAAATAACTTGAGTGTCCCTGGATAAGAATCACACAGGTAATTTGCATTTTTGCTCAATTTTTACGTATGCTAATTTTTGTTACCAAAAACAAGTTGTTTAAAAGTTCCACTTTAGCAGAACACCGGAACCAATCTTTTAGGGATGACTAATTGAGTGAGTTTCAGAGTCCTAATTAACACTAATACTTACTAACTGCAAAATTTGTCTTACAAGTACTTTATACTTTCTAGATGATTTGCGGGTACTTTAGTCCTGTCATGTGCCTTTACTACCAACAACTCTAATTTAGGAAAGGACGAAAGGTATTTTCATTTGAGTTATAATGCAAATAATTACTCCTGTCAGGAAAGATGAGCCTAACAGCTAGAGGGAGCACTTGCATGATTTCATCTGGCTCTGTTTTAAGTATTTGCCATGAATAAAATCAAAGATATAAAGCACCAGAAAGGATAGAGGTACTCCAAATAATTTGTGGTGATTTTGGGGGGAGGGGGGAAGCTCAAGCTGATGAAGCATGAGGTCATGACCTGAGCCAAAGTCGAATGCTCAACCAGTTAAGCTACCCAGGTGACCCTGTTGTGTGGTCTTATAAAAGTCCCTTAATTTCTTATGGTCTTTATCCTGAGCACATAATGCCACACTTGTGAACTGTTGAAATTTTATTTTCTTGGAAGCAGGGATTACCCTTGAAGAAAAAATGAAAAAGAAAAAGCCCACTTACAGATCCGCTGGGTAGTTGGGGTGTAATCCCAATTGTCTGAGATGAGGCTGCTCCAGAATTACCAGGTTTTTAGTATTTTCATTTGCTTCTCTACTGCTCTTGGACTAATTTCCCCCAACAGACTGAATTTCTGAGTCCCCTTATGCCAAACTTTGAATCAACTGAACCTAAACTAAGACCTTACAAATATTTATTAAAGAACAAGAGTAATTTCTCTTATTATCTCAAAGAGGCTTTTCATGCTGATATTTGAAAATGCATTGACTGCAAAGAGGGGCATTTTAGAATTACAAACTATCATTCCTACCAAGGAGAATGATACTCAAAAGCTACAATCAATGAAACAAGGACTTGCAAGCATCTAGCTTTTGCATGAACAGGTGAAAGACATTTATAGATGCCCTCCTTTAGTAAATTATTACCTTTATTCCCAGGTATTGTTTTTCTCTTTTCACAAGGACAAATGGAGTCTCTGAAAAATAAGGGAGTTGAGACCAAGGTTCTACAAGATATGGAAGAGCCTGGTGGAAGATTGGATCCCAACTAGGATAGACCAGAGGGCCCAGAAAATTAGCTCCAGGCCTTTATCATGGTAGCTACATTGCCTTGAGCAGATTTTATGTATGTTTGTGATAATTTGAAAATATGTCCACTAATTCACTGATACTTCTCCCATATAAAAGTAGTCTAAGTCCCCTCCCTTTGGTGACTTCTATCTAAGGAACACTTTGTTGTTTGGCAGAACAGCAAGTGGCTCTAAGGCTAGATTAGAAAAGACAATTCAGCAACTGGCTGCCCTCAGAATCCTGGTACCATGTTTTGAGAAAAGCTCAGGCTGCAGAGAGAAGCCATGTGTAAACTTCTAGCCAACTGCTCCAGTAGTCCCAACTGACAGTCACCATCAAACACCAAATATGTGAATAAGTGAGCCACTAAATGATTCTAGCCCCAAGCCTTCCACCTATTAAACAGAGCAGATACCGGCTTGCCCCAGCCAGAACTGGCCTAAATTGCAGGTTTGGGTGCAAATAAATGTTGAGTTAAGCCACTGGAGTTTGGGGGTGGTTTATTATGCAGCCATAGGTGACTAGAGCAAGGTTTTTAATGTTATAGTGGGAGTTAGATATAATCCTGAAAAGTAGGTACTGCTGTTCCTTTTTTTTTTTAATAAAAAAGGAATTTTTTTGAGTGCTTATTTATCTTTGAGAGACAGCGTGAGCAGGGGAAGGGCAGAGAGAGGAGGAGACACAAAATCTAAAGCAGGCTCCAGGCTCGGAGCTGTCAGCACAGAGCCTGACACCGGGCTCCAGCTCATGAACTACAAGATCATGACCTGAGCCGAAGTTGGCCGCTTAACTGACTGAACCACCCAGGCCCCCCACTGCTGTCCCTTTTTGACAGAGGAATAAACCGGTCCAGGAAGGTGAAATGACTGCCTTAGGTTTCACGCTAAGTGGCAGAGCCAGGATTTAAGAGCTTGTGAAGAAGGCCCATTCTTTCTATTCCTGATAGCAATGGGATTAGACCATTTCCTTCAGAAAAATCTGGATTCCCAAAACAGCTTTATTTCTAAAATATTAAGATGAACGTTTCCTTACAATTACTTACACACACACAAAACCAGTAATAAGGCTTTTTAACCACCTTAACCTTTTTGACTACAGCCCCTACGACTGGGTAATCTTCAATTTTACAGATTAGAAAATCAAGGCTAAGGATAAATAGCCTAATTCTCCCCTGTAGAATGACCTGTAGTGTGTGGTAGAGCTGGGATACAAACTCGGGCCCAATTTGCAAACGTTTCCCTCTGCCTCTTGCCTGCAACGATAGTAAACACACTTTATTCCGTGTTACAGATGAAAAACGTTTTCATAACTTTCTCGGTTGCCAAGACTCCTGGGAAGAGAACTTAGTGATCACTCAATGCCCAATCCCCTGATTTTACAAGTGAAACACAAAGAAAGTAGGCCCCTTCGAAGAAATGTAGACTTCACTACTCTTTGGCCAGAGAAATTACGTGTCCCTCTACGCCCACGCATCATTTGACATTAACACCAGGCGGCCGCACGGAACAGAGACTGGGGCTCGTGATACTACGGCAGATCAGGCTCACAGGTGATCACCGTCATACCTTTACTGATCGCTCCTCCCCAGTTACTCTTACGTCTCAGAATGGGGAAATTATGTTTGCCAGAGTCTCGCCGCTGTGCGAAGCACTTGACCCTTACCCTTCCCGTGCACGCTCTGGAAAGGTTTGAGTTATGATCGGTGGAAAAAAACCTTTCAAGGAATCTGTCAGTCGCCCTTCGCTCAATCAACAGCAGTCGCGGCAAGTCTGTTAATGCAACAACGCATAATCTCATAAATTTATAGAAAGAGGCCATTTTAGAAAGGAGAGCGAAAACTCAAACGTTGTTCGGGCTTTGACCAATATAACATTAATGAGAAACCTGAGATTCGCGTCCCCAACTGGGAAGCTCAAAAGCCCCCCGGTTCGCCTCAGACTTCCACTGCCGAAGCCCCAGGCTTCACTGTTGTGAAGCGTGTGAACGTCGAAGTCGACTCTTCCCCAAGTCGCACCAGGCCGCAGACCCCTGCCCACTTCGCTGGTGCCACCGCCTTCCAGAGAGAACTGCCAGGCGCGGCCTCCAAGCACAGCCCGCCCCGTTCCGCTCCGCCCCGAAGCGCGCGTGGGAATGCAGCGTCCTCCCCAGGGCTGCCCCGGACGACCGCCTGCGAGCACTGGGACCGACTTCTGCCGTCGCCACGCCAGTCCCCTCCCCGCCGCCGCCACCTCCTCCACGCCTCCGTTTCCCCGCCGCCGGACGCACGGACGGGCCGGCGCTCCGGGAGCGCGCCGCGATGTTTCTCTTTTCCGCCCGGCACCGCCGCAGCCACCTCACATCCGGGCGCGCGGCGGTGAAGGCGGTGCTGGGGCCCGGGTGCGTGGAGGGAGTTATTAAGGGGGGAGGGGGGCCTGGGAGGAGGGACGGAGGGTTGGGTTGTGGTTACGGCGGCTGAAGAGAGACAGTCCGAGCTGGTGGGGGGGGGGGCGAGAGCGAAGGCCGCGCGGAGCAGCCCTCGGACCGGCGCGGGCGGTGGGGAGGGTAGCGGCGGCCGAAGCGAAGGGCAGCCGAGCGGTGGAGGCACAGAGTAAGGGCCTGGTGGTGGCGGGAGCCGGGGCGCCGCGCGCCAAGGACCGCAGCGAGGGCAGGAGCGCGGGCGCGCTGCTCCCGGGGTCGCGTGCGTGAGCGCGAGCGCCGGGGCGCGCGCGGGGGGCGGGCTGGGACGCGAGGATAGCAAGGCGGCCGGCAGGCAGCGGGCGGGCTGGCGGGGCCCGAGCCGCCGGGCTGGGGCGGACGGCGGCGGGCCTGCGCCGGCTCCAGTTTGGAGCGGCCGGGCCGGAGGATTCGGCCTCCCCGCTCCCTCCGGCCCGCCTCTCCTCCGTGAGT